TTTTTTGTTTTGCTTCATGTAAGACATCACAAAATGTAAACATTTTGCAACTACTTACATGAAGTAATTTCAAAGTTTCAAACCAACCCCCATTATCGATGCGAAGCAGTCAAAGCTTTATGCTTCATTCTTTCTCATATCACTTGATGAAACAACTTTGCAGCTGTAAATATCAATGAAGCTGTTGGAAAAAGAATTTGAAAGGCCTCAAAGATAAGGTATACATGTATGGTTCGTAATGAATAACATCAATTTGCATTCCATCGAGTGAGCCTTATAATGTTTATAAACATTAGGGTGCTGAGCCTGCGCAGTACGGACTGGAAATCATTGTCAAATTTATCTGAGAGCCTCCTTTAATAGTCACTCCTGAACAAACTCTCAGATAATAATGACACTCTGTTGCCTGCATTAAACAATTTTAACCGGAGGAATATGTAAAAAAAAATGGAGAGTGTAAGCATTTTTGCTATACAGAACAGTCTACTTTATTCTAGGGCCAACAGGTAAGTTGTAATTTTTTTCAATATAGTGCATCTGTTTTTATTTCAAAATGTTATTATAATTTTTTTTTTTTTATACATGTGCTTTATTTCAAACACAAACAGTATTTACAACTTGGAATTTTATTATCACCTGGCTTGTTCAACATACCTGCACCAAAAATTCCAGTCATCACCTTTGCTGGTAGGTTTGAAGCTGGGATACTTTTGACAGTTTGCAACACAATTACTCCACAGCCGTAGCAAACAGCGGCACTGATATACTTGCAAGACACACAGTCATCTCTAAATTTTATGTCAAACTTGCGCATAAATGAAGACGAGTCCTTTGTTTCCTCCTGGAAAGTATAAACAACAGCACAGCGAAGTGAATCTTCTGTATTACTTAATTCCAGTAGTGCCCACTCTGTCCCTTCCCCTCTGGACAACAGCTGTGCATTTGCTCACATCTAAATCATTAGTTGGGACATTTGAAATCTTATGACTGCTTGGAGACCGGGCATTTGTCGAACATCTTCAATTCTTCGACGACATGAATTTAAATAAGTTTTATAATAAAAGCTTACAGTACCTTTGTCTCTGGTGTAGGTTCTGGTTCAGGCAGTTTATCTAACGGTTCGTTTTTCAAGTCATCTTTCTTTGAAGAACTCATGCTTTAGACATTGCACGAGCTGACCTCCTTCAACTATGTCATGTACGCTCACACGAATTTGAACCGCTGAACAGCAGTCTTTGCGGATTCATTTCCTGCCGATGTGGCTCTGAGGGACGAGCACGACGATTGTTGAGAACATTTGGAACTTAGCAACAGAATCCGTAATCATCGGCCGTTTAGATCGTTTTGTCAGTCTCCTCAATCCTTGCATAGTAAAAATATACATTGGAAAATTCAGTCACAATGCCTGAAATGCAAGGGAAGTCAAATAATGCAAGTTCTGGAGCTGGTAATAAGCAGGGTGCATTCAAAGACAAGGACAAGCCCACTGAGATTCGTATGAGCAACATTACTGCAGCGAAAGGTGAGCAAATCCTCATTAACTATGATATTCTGGATATGAAAGCTTACGAGGGATGTTATGTTTTTCCAGCGGTTGCTGATGCCATAAGAACGAGTCTAGGACCCAAAGGGATGGACAAAATGGTGAGTGACTTTTTGTACATTTTGTAGGTGTGTAAACATTTTTGTACAGTTTCTGTATTAAAGTCATGTTTGCTTTTGAAGACTGTTCATTTTATCCTCATATTTTTTTTGACCTTTTTTAAAAATTCCGCTTACTACGCATATTTGTTGTTAGGTAGTGCTGAAGAAGATTGACAGCTCTAAGATATGAAAAATGTGTGTCAGTAAATCTTATTTAGAGATGTTTGGCAAATCATTGTGTAGCAGTCAATAGAGAGAAATACAGGAAGGAGATTCTGTTGTATGTGTTTATGACTTAGTTGGCTCTCAGTGATGGTTGTTGCAATTTGCCTGGCTTGCATGTTGTTGGATAGGATTGCCAACATCAAAACCTTGGAAAATATAATAATGGGAACTTTCCATTCAACAAAAAGTCGACCAAAAGTCCAGTTTTCATTTCCATACCATTTGCCTCTGTTTCAAAAGTTCTGGAATTTTTGGTTGGATGGAAAGTGTTCATTGTATTGTATACTTCCCTCTGAAATTAACTATCATGGAATACCATGGAACCTCAATGGTATTCTAGTGCCTAGTTTATTCTCAACAGCTCAAATGGCTGATGCTTTTCTTTGGTTTCCACTGCATAAAACAGCTAGTAATATCGCTGTTCTATCGTGGGTTAGCACTGATAGGTTTTTGACTCAGAGCTAATAATAATATTATAACCCCCAAAATTCAGCGAAACAACAGAAAAAAAAAAAACAAGCCTTGCTTAGACTGCTGGCAGCCAATTTTATCTCTGAGGGTCACTTAGATGAGTGTTTAGCTATCACAAATGCAAGAGGGCAGTATGGCTGTGGCCAAGTAGGGATTAGAAGGCTAAAACGTCATTTAGGCTAAAACGTCATGCATCATAACTCCTGCTGAGTTTCGAGAGAAAAACAGACTGCCAGCAGCCTGACCCTTGGTAGACTCTAACCATGTCTCTAAATCTTGTGCTCAAGACCCATGCATCCTCTTTGTTTGGCTGAAAAAACATGTGACATGTATGTGCGCGTTAGCGAACCATGTTCTTATTTTGCTACACCAATGTGTTTAACTTGATACAAGTTGCACTTGTTTATTATATTTGATTGCTGTTGGACAATTTGTTTAGATACAAAGTGGAAATGGTGATGTAACAATCACTAATGATGGTGCAACGATCTTGAAGCAAATGCAGGTCTTACATCCAGCTGCAAGAATGGTAATGATCTCATAAAAATCTAAGTTTCAACTCTGCAAACTCATATGACTCTTGAAAATATAAAGCATATGCATAGCATAGCTTGTTAAGTAAAGCATCTTTGCTTTTAAGTAGATATTTGGATTGTTAGAAGGTGCCCTCTTCATTAAATAACTTGCCCTAATTATAATGGCTTGTTGTTCAGATGGGAGGGAAAGAGTAAATGGTTGCTTTCAACAACTTTTTTGTTTCATATACTTTAAAGTCAATAAAAGCAATCAACAGTGGTTTGTTGGTCAGTAAGATGGCAAGTAATGCATTAACCATGATGTGAGTACTTTTACAAAATGTATGTTGTGGTTTTTTGGTTATCTTTTTTATCCTGAGCTTGAAACTTGTNAGATATTGCGTATGCAGAAAAACCACTCGGTTTTCCTAGCAGCGTCTTTATAAACGAAGCAAAAACCAGCAACAAAAATACAGGACCACGTTTTTCTAGTACATTGAAGACCGCATGCAAAAATTCAAGCCCTTTCGCGAAAATTTTTTTTTTCACCCAAATCGTCACTTAGCATGGTTTTGCACTCACCCCTTCAATTATCATGGAATCTCAATGGTATTCTGGTGCCTAGTTTATTTTCAACAGCTCAAGTGGCTGATGCTTATCTTTGGTTTCCACTCTATAAAAGAGCTAGTGATATCACTGTTCTATCATGGGTTAGCACTGATAGGTATTTGACTCAGAGTTAATAATGATATTATAACCCCCAAAATACGGCAAAACAACAGAAAAAAACGACCCTTGCTTAGACTGCTGGCAGCTGATTTTATCTCTAAGGGTCACTTAGATGAGTCAGGGTTCATACGGGTCCTGGAAAACCTGGAAAGTCCTGGAATTTTATTGTGGCATTTTCAAGGACTGGAAAGTCCTGGAAAAGGCTACTGGTCTTGGAAAGTTCTGGAAATCTGTTAAACTCAAGTAGAAAAATATGAAATTTATAGCAGACATTAAGGAGAATTAACATTAAGATCTTGGGAGTGAAAGGGTTAATGTGAATTTTAGAGTCCTGGAAAAATCAATCTGAGTCCTGGAAAAGTCCTGGAAAAGTCTTGGAAATTTGTTTTTGAAAAAGTGTATGAACCCTGTGAGTGTTTAGCTATCGCAAATGCAAGAGGGCGGTATGGCTGTGGCCAAGTAGGGATTAGAAGGCAATAGAGGGCGGTATTCTCATCCCATTGCCCTTTAGGCTAAAGCGTCATGCCTCATAACTCCTGCTGAGTTTCGAGAGATAAACAGACTGCCAGCAGTCTGACTCTTGGTAGACTCTGACCATGTCTCTTAATCTTGTGCTTGAGACCCATCCATCCTCTTTGTTTTGAGTGAAAAAACATGTGACATGTATGTGCGTGTTAGCGAACCATGTGCTTATTTTGCAACACCAATGTGTTTAACTTGATACAAGTTACACTTGTTTATTATATTTGATTGCTGTTGGACAATTTGTTTAGATACAAAGTGGAAATGGTGATGTAACAATCACTAATGATGGTGCAACGATCTTGAAGCAAATGCAGGTCTTACATCCGGCTGCAAGAATGGTAATTAACTCATAAAAACCTAAGTTTCAACTCTGCAAACTTATATGACTCTTGAAATATAAAACATATGCACAACATAGCTTGTTAAGTAAAGCATCTTTGCTTTTAGGTAGATATTTGGATTGTTAGAGGGTGCCCTCTTCATTAAATAACTTGCCCTAATTATAATGGCTTGTTATTCAGATGGGAGGGAAAGAGTAAATGGTTGCTTTCAACAACTTTTTTGTTTCATATACTTTAAAGTCAATAAAAGCAATCAACAGTGGTTTGTTGGTCAGTAAGATGGCAAGTAATGCATTAACCATGACGTGAGTACTTTTACAAAATGTATGTTGTGGTTTTTTGGTTATCTTTTTTATCCTGAGCTTGAAACTTGTTTGTGACCATTTTAAAATGAATTGAAAATGTTCTTTGCAAAATGTTTTTCAGCCTGTTTCCTCTCAAAATTGGTCCAGCAAGAAATTGAAATTGTGTATTTTGGTTGTAAAACTGTCAAAAGCTCAATACATGTAACATTTTTGTTATGTTAGCTTGAACTAAAGAAAATTATTCCTTTTAGAACTGTCCTAAGCCTGAAAAATGTTAAGTATTTGAGCTTGCAGAATAGACTGTTTTGATATATCATTAAAAATCAGCTTGGCAGCAAGGCCGAGAGAACACAAACAAAGGCTGAATTTTAATCTATCCTATTGTCTAAAGCGTGTGAGTTTAATATTTGTTTTGTATTTTAGCTTGTAGAACTGTCTAAAGCCCAAGATATAGAGGCTGGAGATGGGACCACTACTGTTGTAGTGATTGCTGGAAGCTTGCTCAGTGCTAGTGCAAAACTCTTGGAAAAAGGTTAATATCTTAAAATATGGCTTGAATGCGTAAATGTACAGCTTTTGTACCAAAACATGTATTGTGTGAAGTTGATCGCAACCACCTGGAATGCTTGGTAATTTCCACTTTATTGCAAAATATACATTTGCTGGTGAAATTAGTGAAAAACTTGTTATTCTTGGCTGTCATACCAATGTCTTGTCAGTAAGTAACACTGTTTTTAATGGATGCATCAGGAGCTACATTCTTCCTTTAGAAAATTTGTATCTATCTTTAGTAAGTCTGTGTAAACCTTCTGTTGTGTAACTTCTTTCTGAAATAATTTACTACAATATCTGGACATCTTTAAATCACACTAAGATGGCAAAATGACAAAATGGCATTACAGTTTGTCAAAATAGCACTCCGGCTAGCCTAAATAGCATTTCAGTTAGCCTTTGTAGCACTCGGGTTAGTCTAAATATCACTGACTTGACAGTGGTTAGCTTTTAATAGTATTATTGTAAGAATTCAGTAACCCTTACAGATACATGTACTTGTATCCCACATATACTATTACCTTAAGTGCTATTTTATAATTTTGCCATTTCGTGGTTAAACATGCTTGCAGTATCTTAGTTTGTAGTAGTTTGTGTTTGTAGTAACAATGTACCCTCTTCATTAAATAGCTTGCCATCAATATGGCTTGTTATTCAGATGGGAGGGAGAAAGAAAATGGTTGCTTTCAACAACTTTTTTGTTAATTAGCACATTTAAGTCAATAAAAGCAACTGACATTAACAGTTTTTTATTCAGTGTAAAAATATGTTTCAATGCTTGTGATTTACTTATCTTTTCTTTTTAATGTTGTGATTTATTATTGTCTTTTGCTGTCTTGGTCTCCTACAGGAATTCATCCCACCACCATATCAGAATCATTTGAAAAAGCAGCTGCTAAAGCAGTGGAAATACTGACAACTATGGCAACACCAGTTGCTCTCAGCGACCGCGAATCTCTACTGAAAAGTGCAATGACATCACTAAGTTCTAAAGTAAGGACATAAGCCAAATCGTAGTTTTGAGAATTAGTGCAGTGTGTATTGTTTTTATCCCTAACTTATTCTCCTCTTTTGGGATAAAAACACATGCCCAATGCACTAGTTCTTTATACTCTGGTTTGGCTTAGAGTCACTGTTATGACACCTCCCATTGTTAATATGAGCCTCACAGTGAAATTTTTTTGTTAACATTTATTTAATCACTGAGAGGGAAAAAAAGCAACATACATTGCAAAAATTAAAATGTCACAACTTACGGTGCTTGCATACATCTGCCTTTAATGAAGGATTTACATCATTTCTTTTCTTAGCACACTTCTCTCAAAACACTACATTAGCATCCGTTCAAAATTTGGGCACCTTTTGATCATCTTTTGATAAGTTGTAAAATGTGAGCATATTGTAACATTGTGATTATGTGATTTCTTGTTTAGGTTGTTTCACAATACTCCAATCTCCTAGCTCCAATAACTGTTGATGCAGTCCTTAGAGTCATCGATCCTGCAACAGCGGACAATGTTAATCTAAAAGATATCAGAGTGGTGCAAAAATTAGGGTATGTTTAGCCGAACTTTATACAATTTCATGGCTATTTACTTTAAAATGTCCTTTTCATTGTCAAAACACACCATAGAGTTCAATAATTTGCTAACGTCTAAGGACTTTAGAATGGTAATTCCAGACATATCATAGTCACTTCCAGATATACTCAGGACTGTCATTTCTTGATTACCATTATACAAAGCGAAATCACTATTTGGATTTCCTGTGAGCTAGATCGCTATTGAACTTTTTTACAGTCTGCTTAAATAGGGTATGATCCAAAATAATGTTTCTCTTCTGTTGTTATTTTTCAGAGGCACTGTTGATGACACTGAGTTGGTCGAGGGTCTTGTTCTAGAACAGAGAATCAGCCATTTGGCTGGAGGGATATCTCAAGTAGAAAAAGCCAAAATTGGACTGATACAATTCTGTATTTCACCTCCTAAAACAGATGTAAGTGATATGTAGAATAAGTATGTAGAATAAGTGATTGTGCTTTACTGATGTCACAACTACAGTATCTGCATTATCAGAACTAACAATGTAAAAATCTTGAATTTGTAATTTGTATGTCATTTTATTTCTAATCAGATGGAAAATCAAGTTGTAGTCAGCGATTACACACAGATGGATAGAGTTCTTAGAGAAGAGCGACAGTACATTCTTGAAATATGCAAGAAAATAAAAAAGGCCGGCTGCAATGTGTTGCTTATTCAGAAGTCTATCTTGAGGTAACTCGCAGTCTTGCATTAAAAAAATCAGTTTTTTCATTGAGCTGTTTTATCTAGGAATGACATTTCTTAAGAATAATAGCTCAAGTTTCAAAGCAAAAACCATCATCTAACATGAAAAGCTCACATCAAAAATTTAACATACCAGAGTCTCATTGTCACATTGGACATGAGGCATTTTAGTTTAAACATAAAACAATACTGGTTCAGGGATGATTTTTTCTCTCTGTCCTGCTGAAACTTTTCTTTCTGTATTGCAGAGATGCTGTCAGTGACCTAGCTCTCCACTTCCTGAACAAAATGAAGATCCTCGTTGTAAGGGACATAGAACGAGATGAAATAGAATTTATATGCAAGGTAGTTTATGGTGGTCTAGTTTGTTTTTATACTCTCAGTGCCCAGATGACATCACGTTACAGCTACAAACAAATTCAATTGTAACATTATTAGACAATATTCATATTCTTGGTATTGGACTGGAACTGGCTTGCAACTGAGACTAATGCAGGGAGTGTTTGCAAATGCAAATGACATTTATCTCTTTTTAATAATATTCCCCCACGTAAGCCTCCATTGCGAGCTAGTTATAGTTCAATACTGGAAATACAAATATGGTCTATTCTAACAAGTTGTTTGATTTGTCCCTTCTTCCTCATCTCAGAGCTTGGGATGTAAACCGATTGCCAGTTTAGATCACTTTACTCCAGAAATGATGGCATCAGCAGAACTCGTCGAGGAAGTTCCTTTGGGTACCAGCAAGGTTGTCAAGGTGACTGGCATAGCCAACCCTGGTCAAACCGTTAGTATCCTTGTACGAGGGTCCAACAAACTTGTCCTGGAAGAAGCTGAGCGGTCACTTCATGATGCTCTCTGTGTAGTACGATGCTTGGTCAAAAAGAGGTAATTCAGTCTAGTTTCATAGCAAATTATTTTTTGCGGTGGGAAAACTTACATTGTTGAGAGCATTCAACATCTTCAATGCTAGGACAACTCGATGATGCACTCAAAAACTTCCAGGTTTCAAAAAGTGATTTATCTATTTAATATATATTTTACAGTACCCCCAGAAATAAGCTAATGTATAGACACATGAATTTATAATTTATGCAGTAATTTATCTTAAAAAAACAAATTGACGTCAGTTTTCATCAGTCTGTCCTGTAATTGACAATGAATTTGGTCGTAACATTGTCAAGGTATTCTGCAGATCAAACAGCTACTTTGACAATGTTATGATGAAATTGATCATCAATAACTGGATAGACGCATGTAAAACTGATGTCAATTTGTTGAATTTCTTAACTGGCTGCCTGGCTCCAGCAACGCCTATGGTTAGTCCAGGCAATCAGAACTCTAGATGTAGTCTCAATGAACGTTTTTGTAAGAACAAGTGCCAATAAAGGTTGCTGTTGTTGTTGCAAAGCATGAATCCATTGCTAAGTGAGGACACGAGACATTTTGATATATTGTCAAGAAAGTGTAGTTATGCAGATCACGATCTTTTTTTTTTTTTTTTTTGGTACCATCAGGGCTCTCATAGCAGGAGGCGGAGCCCCAGAGATTGAAGTATCCATAAGACTGGCTGAGCATGCACGCACTTTAACAGGCATGGAAGCATATTGTGTACGAGCTTTTGCTGAGGCACTGGAAATTATACCTTACACACTCGCTGAGAATGCTGGGTTGAATCCTATTGCTACAGTCACGGAGCTGCGAAACAGACACGCAAAGAACGAGACTACAACTGGAATAAACGTCAGAAAGGTAGGCTGGGTAAACAGTGAAAACAGTAAAGGCTCCGTGATTTGAGTCACCCAGCTTGACAACTTTGGTCATACTCACTACTGCTTGAGTGGAGGTGCGTTGGCCTAATGGTTAGTGCGCAAGTCTCTGGATCGAGTGGTGAGGGTTTGAGCTCAGGCCGGGGTAACATCTTTGTGTTCTTAGGCAAGATAGTTTATTCTCATGGTGCCTCTCCCTACCCAGGTGTTAGATTGGTACCGACGAATTAATGCGTCAGTCGAGTTTTCAGCCTCACTGTCCTCCGGAGAGCCTATCACTGCCTGGCAAAGAGAGAGCTGAAAAACAACATGTACCGCTTTTCGACCCATAAAGAAAATGTAACTTGTCCCTGTCTCATCTTTACTCCACAACATTTTCTTATTTCAGGGCACCATCACTAATATTCTGGAAGAGAACGTTCTTCAACCACTGCTTGTGTCAACCAGTGCCATTCAGTTGGCCTCCGAGACTGTCCGTAGTATTCTGAAGATCGATGACATCGTAAGTACAAGCACACCCTCCCCCTGTCCCCCCTTCCCTACCCCCCTCTAGAAGCATACACTCACTTTTTGACTTGGATAGGGAGTGCTCTAACCCAGCAGTAGTAGCAAACTACTATACAGTCAATAAATGCCTTATCTGTCGTTGATCGTGAGTTATGGGCAAACTTCTTACTGTTTTATTAAGTTTTAAAGTTTCTCAAACTAGAACCAATCTTTTCTTTTCTGTACTAGAACAACTTAGTTATGTGATTTTCTTTTACAGGTTAATACAAGATGAATCTTGGAGGAAAGCTGACTTTGGTCAGAAGACCTTCCTGTCGCCCGTCACCACAGACTGTTGTCACAGAGTGTATGTTTTAGCACGTGAACCTTGCAACTTAGCAGTCGAAGAGCAAGCTTTATTTTAGAACTTACGAGCTGTTCTGCGAGATATCAACATTTTACTGTTATGGTTGCTTTGCGATAATCGAAAGGAGAAATATGGACACTGTTTAATTTCATGACAAATGTGTATCTTAAAGACTATTAAAACAAGTGTTAGGCACTAAGAAGAATGTAACTTATTGGTGATAGCGTATCACTCCTGCCTCTGAACAAAACTCAGCTGGAAAGAAGTCCAGAGGAGCATAGAGCTCCCTACACATAAGGGATCGTGTTGCATTGACATGTCGCAGCAACATGCAGCAGCGGCGAAATCCTGTACTGTTCACACGGTGGGAATGGGGCGGAGGGGGGGCGGGGATAGCATCTGTGCAAAAGTTTGTCCAGTTATATCCTATTCTCTCAAAAACTCGACACACACCGACCCGACGTGTCGCAAGGGCAATCCTGCGGCTTTTTCTTATGTGTGTATGTGCTTTGAGTTTATCGCTGCTACATGTCTAGCATGTGAACAGGCTCCGGCTGGAAGGGTCTGTCCATAGCCGTAACGGCCGAGGAGGAATGAAGTGGCCGAGAGGGGAATGGGGTGGGGCTGTGCCCCATCTTCGACTAAAGATCCTGTTCACAGGCTACTATATGTCCGTCTAGCCGTCTCAGTGAAATGTCCCCTTTCGTGAGATTCTCATAATTGTCCCTGCGTTGCCCCTTCGTATGTAGAAGTGTTTTGCTTCACCTCCACGGGGACTCTAACTAAGTTAAGTGTGTCTGGAGAAATAGCTTCGGAAAGCTTCCGATATGGTCGGCATGGCCAGTGTCGCAAATACGACGTTTACCAGGAGCTGCCTTCGCAGATTCTGAATATAAGGGCGGGTGGCCTGAAACCAGCTTGCCTCCAGGCGGCAGATGAGACTCATAACCCTAGCAGTTTAAGCGGCAGAGCCTTTTAGGTGATGGAAACTTAGAGTCCAAACCTGGGTCGATATAACAAATCGAATGTGGTTTAGCGTTGTCTGTACTCTTGTCGACAACGATATGCATCATCACAGTGGTCAAAATATTGTGGACTCACGAGGCTGCGCCTCGTGAGTCCACAAAAAATTTTGACCACTGTGATGACGCATATCGTCGATAAGAGTACAGACAACGCTAAACCACATTTGATTTGTTTTTTACCACAATATCAACGTCAATGTTTTTTTCAGAGCGCGACCTGAAAAAGGCATTGCGCGACACATTGACGCGAGCAGCGTGGTATGGACTCTTATCGACAACGGCAAATTAGCCAATTAGATTGCGAGATTAGCAGCAA